GAGTCGTGCTTGGAAGTGCTAGCTCGTCGTTACTACTTGGAGTCGAAGAGCTGCGTTGTCGCGGTAGTGTGCTGCGAATGCCTGCAGGTCGTTGCCATAGCGTGAGAACGCGGGGTGGTCGGGCACTTTTGGCATAGGTAGATGCATGTCTGCGTGCATGGCGTCTTTGAGTTTGAATGTGTTGGTCGGAATCGTAGGTGGGAGCGTAAATGTCGACGGTGGTGTTGCTCGTGAGTCGGGTCGGAGCGGTGAGTGTGGTAGATATTGTTGTCCATCCCGACGGACGAACATCTCATTGTTGCATTTGTTGCCGTACCTGTGCCACCCACGTAAGGGTAGGTCGTCGATCAGGAGCCTGTACGTGCACGTGTTGGATCGCTCGTGGTGGTAGACTGCGTAATGCCATCTGTCGTCCTCGTAGCCGTTGGTGTCCGTGCCGTTGGCGTGGTAACATGTGCCACCCATCCGTTCGGGGAACGCATGTCGTGGTATTGGTCAGGTTTGAATGACATGAGATACAACTCGTGTGTGTTGCGTGCTCCGTTCATATTGGCCCATGGGTCGTTGTCGCCAATCCTCCTCCTCCTCCTCCTCCTCCTCCTCCTCCTCCTCCTGCTCCTCCTTATCGTCATCATCAGAAGCATCAGAATCATCACCACCACCATCATCAGCATCAGCATCATCAGCAGCAGCACCACCATCAGCACCGCCATCACCATCATTATCAGCAGCAGCAGCCATTTTCATCACTATCCCCAGCATCAGCCGCATCAGCATCATTATGGTTATCATCATCAGCAGCATCAGCATCACCATCATCATGCCCATCATCATCAGCAGCACCATCATCATGACCACCACCACCACCATCATCATCAGCACCACCATGGTCATCATCATCACCGCCAATATCAGCATCAGCATCGCCATCGTCATCATCATCCTCAGAATCATCAGTACCATCACCATATGCGTTGTCACCACCCTCCTTAACATTACCATCATCATCACCGTCGTCATCAGCATTGCCAGTGTTACCCTCATCGCCAGCATCGTCATAGTTTCCGATCATATGCATCGTCGTTATCATCGTTGTCACCATTTTCATCAGAATCCTCATCAACCTCACAAGCATCACCACCATCATTGTCAAAGCCCGCATCGTCATAATCATCGCCAT